TTATCTAGTTCTCGGTTGCTTATGGTATCCTTTGTTTTCAACTGTAACTGAGTTTGATACGTCTGTTTTCAAATCCCTTTTCAAAAAAATTCCCCTGGTTTTTTCCAAATCGACTAAGCTATGACAAACATAAATTTGACGCGAAGGTACCATTGGAATCGTCTTGAAGAGACGAAGCGAATGACACCAGTCTCGGGCTCCAATTTTTCCATTTCATGAACTTGAAAATAGCACGGACAAAGGTTGAAGACGACCTACGTGTCTGACTTCAATCAATGACAATTTGCCACGCATTTTTTTCAAATCTGTTTAATAATTATCACATGTGTTATTTCCTGAAGACCATGATATGCACAATGCGTCTGATCCATTGGATTAACTTACTAACGTGTTTTGACAATGATCAGATGGTCCACATTTTTTGAGTTTATTTTTGATTTTTGATTTTTATATTTAATTGTTTTAAACTTCAAAAATTCATAAAAAAATCATTTTTGACTAAAAAATTATGAAAAAATTCACAAAAATATTTTCAAATATTATCTTTCTGATTCTTATTTTTTCATAATTTTATTTCATGATTTGTTGTTTTTTTTTAATATTTTTTCTCTTTACTTAACTTGTTTTAATTGATTAAAAATACTTTCCTTGATTTTTAAATTCTAGAAAAATTGTGGAAGGATCCAATGACCTATTGACAAATATTGGTGACCTAATTTTATTTTTATTTCTGATTTTTATATATATAATTTAATATTTTTGATTTATTTTGCATATTTCTTTAAATTTTAAAAATAGTTTCTAACTTTAAAAAATTCCCAAAATTTTGTCAACACTTATTAACTCATGTTTGACTTCTGATTAATTTTTTTTTTGGATTTTTATTTGGTGTTTTAATATACTTTGTGTATTTTACCAATTACTTCCCTTTTATTAACCATTTAAATATTGTTTTACTAAATATTATTTTATTATTTATTTGGTCCTGACTTGGGTGTTATTTTGGGACAAATTCCTCAACCTCATTGGATCTTGGGTGTTAATAGGTTGAAAAACCAAATCCATCAAAATGGACGAATGATGTTGATGATATTTGAAACCCTTATTTCATCTAATACATCCTCTCCCTCTTCATCTTATCCCTTTCTTACTTGTGCTACATGTTGTTGGAGAATGATCTACATATCATCTCTCTAAACATATGGTACATAAATTGCTATTGACCGACCTCAAAATACGTGTGACTTCTACATAAATCCACTTACGATTTCTTAATATAACGCTAAATTTTGTACCGATTTGAGAAATGATCATTTGTGGCCCAAACCTATGTTTACAAGCCCAAGTATGTTTAATTTGAAACATGTGATCCAATGACCTTGGAGTTTATTGTTAGGAGGCTTTGATCTTATCAATCCTCTAATGAACCTTCATAAATTTTGGTCTAAGTGAATCATTTAAACATCGTTGATCATATATTGTCGCCTCGAGAACTTGAAATGAATGATATACTTGACAAAAAGCAAATGAAACTTGTTGTTGAGAAGCTTTGGTTTATCAATCTTCTAATGAGTTTTCAAATTCAAGTTTCAAGATGGTCATTAAACTAACCTCTAACTTCTAATTCACTAACAATTGACTTTTACTTTGTGCTTTTACTTTATGCTTTTATTTTGCCTTTACTTTTACGCACCATTTATTTTAACATTTACATTCCATACTATTTTTATCTTTGTTCACTTGAGCATTTATCTTTATGTCATTTTTATTTTGCTCACTTGAGATTTCATTTTCTTTTTGAAGATACTTAATAACCAACTTGAACAATAAAAAACCTTAAGGTTAATCAGACTATTTGGTTACTGTCCTTTGCATTATGGAGATTGTGGACCTCTCAGACTTAGGATTAGAAGCCTTCACTACCCTTAAGACCTTGTGACTCTGATTTTTATTTTGCCTGGAGTTCTTGGGGTTTACCCCAAGATATTGGTTTGATTTTATTTATGTGTAGGTTATTCTAATTATATCTTTTGTCTGTGATTGAGAATTTCTTTGTATACAACTGTTACTCTGCCCAACTTTTTAGAAGACTTAATGCATATGAAGTTTGGTATTTTTTAAGAGGTTTAGTATCTTTATTTTCTTGGTTTCAACCCAAAGGATGAGAATTCTACATTGATTCCATATTTAATTTATTGGCTTCTTGTTGGTTAGACGATTCTTTTCCCTAGATTTTACCTTATTCTTTAGGATAGTCCCTTCATCTCATCCCATCTTCTTTAATTTCAAAAATCTTCTCCCTTCTTTTCAAAACTCTTATTATTTTCTAAATTGAACCGCTTTCACAATAAACTTGGACTTAGATCCATGCATTTTCAAAAAATATTTTCTTAATCAAACTTTAACTAACTTAATCATACTTTGACATTTTTTGTGAGAATACTAAAAGTCAATCAACCTCATTCAAACCATTTTGCCACTTTGGCTTTTTACTTTAAAATTTTCTCAAAAGATTAGACTCCTATCAATTCTTATAGTGATGCGAGCTACTATATTTCTACGATATGTAGTAAAGTGATATATTTTCCACTTGGGTGTTGAGTGAGGCTTTGTTGATTTTAAAATCCAAGCTATATCCTCCACTTTGAGATGACACAAAATCTCCTTTCTCATAATCGTGGGGGTAGTAAGTATGTTTTCCACTCGGCTATGACGATGATGTCTCATCTCTTAAAATCAACCAACACACTTGTGTTTTAAATTTTTTAAAGGTGAACTACGAGTACCATGATCCCCTATTTCACGGAAGATGGTACGTAGACACTAAATGTTTGCAACCACGGCGGGTGCAAAAATTGTAAAATAATATACTTCTTTTCTCATCTCCACCATCTATTTTGGTATACAACACTTATAGCCAAATACACAAATTTTCAAAGAGGTTCCTGCGGAGTACTGTAGATATTTAGGGTGCTAATACCTTTCCTTTGCATAACTAATCCACTTACATATATTCTCTCCCCTTCTTTTTTGGGTGATTCTCTCTTTTCCCATTCCTCTGGAAACAATAAAGCACAGTGGCGATTTTTATTTGATCTGTGCGAGTCAAGTCAATCCAATGGCTTAGTCTTAATATTTCTACTGCTACACTAGGTTTGACAAGATTTTTCTTGTTCAAAGGTTTAGTAACTTACAGATTCAAGGTAGCCCATGTTAACTTTTCTAGATTAATCCCACCCTCTTTGACATAATTAATATCACATATTTGGTCAATTTTGTCAATTTTGATGTACGCTGCCTTTTCCTTTTTATGGTATTTGCTTGACCTAGCCTTTTTAGTTTTCAAGTGTTCGACTTGTCGAACTCTACCTGCTAGTTAGGCCACGTCTCTTAAATATTGGGTGTCTAACTTCTTTCTAATAGAATAGTTTAGACCCCTTACAACTAATTTGACTAACTCATATTCAGGCACTTAAGTGAAACATTGCTTTCAATATCCTTGTAATAACTGGCAAAAAATATAGAGTATCCACCATTAATTTTTATCCTAGGGAAGAGAATATACCGGATAACCCTAATTTGATCAGAGATTTTGAGTTGTTGACTCATTTTAGATGAAGGGAAGGTGTTAGGCACCCCTCATCTACCTTGTTCACAAGGATACTAAGGTTTAGGTTTAAAGGTTTAGGAATAGGGTTTTAGCTTTTAATTAGGGGAACTCCCCACGATTTTAAGTTGTATGCCTACGTATCTTCTTATGAGAAATCAGAGTCCTAATTCGTAGTTCATAGTGTTTGGTTGGTGGTTTTTATAAGATTGCATAGAATTGCTTTTGAATTATCCTTAAACCTTGTATGAGTTTGAAAAACGAGTGATCATAGACGCAGTTTATAGTTAATTTTGATAGCAATTCTCCTTAATCCTTTTTCGAAAATAATCTTGGATTTTTTGTTAAGTTAGTAGAAAAAAAGGTTTTGTTGGTTAGTTGTTTTGAAGTTGATTGATCGAATATCGTAGGACATAGAGCGGGGGAGTCTGATAAAGTCTCCTCATCATGTGACCATATATTGGCCACATGATTCTCGTCATGAAGGATATGGAGGGAGTCTGATAAAGCCTCCCTCATCACGTGGCCAGATATTGGCCACATGTTACTTGCAGATGGAGTACCTGGTGGGTTGTGTGGGTTTTAATATCTTTGTAAACTATTAAATTAATTTAATTGCGAAAATCACTCTAATACACAGAAACTAATTTTATCTAAAATTAAAGATATATTTTTGTACTTTTATATTATTATTTCTTTTGGTTATTTTGAGATAATAACCAGAGGGAAACAAAAAAAACTAAAATCAATTAAGTAAATTACTAAAATACATAAACTAAATAAACAAAAGAATAAATAAGAGTCTAGAGGGGTGTAAGTTAGAAAATGAGGGGCATGCATAACTGATGGGCCATAATCATAATAATCAAGAAGCCCAAAATGAATCCCTAATTTTTCCAATAACTATGAAATTAATAAAAGAAAAAGAAAATGAATAACAATGACTATAAGAAAATAAATTGAACGTGCACCATTCTTATCAATTTACTTATTTCTCTCACGTTATGACCTCTCTCATATTAATTTGAATGATAAAAATAGAAAAGAATTAGATGCACAGGGGCACCCTTGGTTATTACTATTAATTATTTCCTTTTCTTTTACAATGAGAATAATTAAGAAACCATGAGATTCTAGTGATTTTTCCACCATTACTAATGATCAATAGGATGCTGACAGGTGGCAAGGATTAAGACTAAATAATAACTAAAAATACACCACAACAATAACACATCAATGCACACAAAGAGATAGAGAAAGAGATAAACGCTAACTTCTTATTTTCCTTTGTATTGTTCTTTCTCTCATCTCAAATATAAACAAAACAACACAAAGCAACGCGAAATCACAAACAGAATGAACAAAAAAATGATACCTGCAGTGATTCTGGATGATGGGTCGGAAGGGATATCGGCAGCTTGCTCGGAGTTGTTGCAGATTCGTTGGAGGTATTGGCCGTAGATCTGGTACGATCGAAAGCATACGGAGTGAGTTGTGTGACCGGAAAGCGGTGACTTTGGCTTGCGGTGGTGCGATTATGTCGAGATCTGATTCGTGGAGTCCCTCTTTTTCTCCTTCCAACTTTTGCTTTGGAACATCTGGAGGTGGCGGATCAGAAGCGTTTTTAACGGCTTATTGCGGGTACGTCGATGGTATGGTGGTGGTTGTTTCGCGACTACAGCAGTTGCTCTTCGTGGATCCATGATGGATTACTTTGTTGTGAGGTTGTCTGCATCGTCAGATGTTGCAAGGTTTACTTACGAGACTTGTTTGGAATTTCTTCTGTTTTAATTTCTTATTTCCTCTGTTTTGAATTATGCCATTGTTTCTATCACATTGTGTTATGAATTTTTTAAATTTGTTGTTCGAGTCTGATTTTTTGTTTTGCTTTCCACTGTGTTGTTTTTGAATCTGTAGAGGTTAGTGGTGATTTTTTTGTGTGAATTGTATTTACAAGTTGGTTAATTATTTAAGATTTGGATTTGGTTCTGAGATGTGAGATCGTTGAAATTTTATGATGCAAGTTTGGATCTTGTTTGATTTGGAAAAAAAAAAAGAATTATGTATGTGTGTATGTGAAAAGGTCATTGGAAAATTGTTGCTAAAAAGAAGGTTTAGAAAATGTAGAATATTTACCGTGGAAAAAGTTTTGTGGTGAAAAAAAGAGCTTTTTAGAAATTCTGGAAAAAAAACATGTACATGGAATAGAATTAGTATGAATGAAAAATTTGGCCTCTAAAAATTAATAAAAATATAATTTTGAAAAAAAAATAAGCTAGCATCAGATGATCGTCATATGTTAAAATAAAAATGGGCCTCATATATAATCATCGGCCAAAGACACGAATAGTAAAAGAGATTTTGAAAACAAGAAATTTGTTAAAAGAAAAAAACCAAAGTGTGAGTGAAGTTCGTGGAACTATGAGAATCGTGTTGATGGTGAGATTTTTCTTAGACTATTGTCTGATATAGTCAACAACCCTAGAATAAACCAAAAAATAATTGTAAAATCAAGTTAGTAAGTTTGTGGATGGTGTTGGAAATTTTGGATTTCTGAATGAAAAATTATGTTGGACAATAGTCCTATTTATAGATTTAGATTTAGGTTAAAAAAACTTAGCAAGTAAGTTACCTAAAAATCAAGAGAAGCTCAAAGCCTGATCTCTAAAAAAGGAAAGAAAATTAGTAAAAAAAAAATAGAAAAATAAAATGTTAAAAATGCAACAAAAGAGATTTGAACATGTGACCTCATACTTGCAAGCTTCATCTCTTACCAATTATGCTATGTTGCTTATTTGAAATAAAAACCCAATTGAAAGTATATGAAAGTGAACAAGTATTTTCTATTTAAAATACAAATAATTTGAAATAAAGTATTATACATTTTTAAATGTGCGAAATAAACTATTATTAAAATGTTAGTAAAATTGAACCAAAGAATATTATAAAAACCAATGTTGAAACTATTTTTTACTGTAAAAATAAAGGGCGGACAAATTTGGGGTATGACAATCCTGAACATGTTAAGATATCCATCTATTAATTTGACTATCTTTTGTCTCACACTAGCCCACTCTTTGAGGCTAATCTTGGACTTGCCAATGTAAAATTGTTTATGGAATATCCTCTCTAGTTGGTTCAAACTATATATGGAACATGGGGGGTAAGGTGGTAAACCATGTACAAGAATTTTTGGTTAGGTAATTTGGGAAGAATTTCATCTTCAAATTCTCATTATTAGTTATGTCTCCTGCCTCCAGCTGATACCATGCCACATGTTCGACAATGGACTCGTTTGTATCCTCTACAAACTTAATGAACATAGGAACTTTACAACCCTTTGATAGTTTCGTATGCAATACATAATCATAAAAAACAGAGATAAAATTTGGCCTATGCAGGCCGATATTGGGGCTATTCTAGGCCAAAATTTGTTTGACCACATTAGTTATGTTATTTTGTCCCCCAAAATTGTTTTGTTGGGGATTCCTAATGATTTGGTCTGAATCTTGATTCCTATGCACTAAAACCAACTCTTGATCATTTCGACCTCCATCACCTCCAATTACTATGGGTGAGGGTGCTTTGACTTGTTGGGGCACAACCTGCTATTGCCCCTGATTATTAGTCATCCCTATATTATTTAGGACTTCTAAAGTTTGATTAGGCCTCAGATTCTGAACATGGGATATTGGTTGAAGTGACATTTGAGGAATGCTAAAGAAATTTGTAATTCGTCCCATTTTTTGTGCCAATTGTTGATATCTACAGTTAGTGTTTTGAATCAAAGGAATAAACACAGTGCCAATTTTTTGTGTTAACATATTAACTAGTTCATGGTTGCTCTCATCTATCTGGTGTCTTACATAATGAAGATAACTATTGCATAACTTGATGTTGTGCCTCTCGATCAAGCTTGCTTATTGTAGAACCTGACGCTAAGTATGGATTAATAAGAGACACAATTACCATAAAATTATATGCATACGTTAATACACTAGGATAAAGGTCTGTCATCATTGTAATTGACATGCCATATGGTTGTTCTCTACCGCCAAGGGGTAATGAAAAATTCAATGGAAATGAGGCCTTTGGTCTCCTAAATTCAGTGTAACCCCGAGGGTAGTTGGAACACTAGAAACTTTGGGGGTGGTAGGAGTTCCACTCCTGGCGATGCAGCCGCGGTCGACACTGGGCTTATCATAATAGAATTTTCCCTAATAGAAGTTGAAGTTCCTATATGAGCTACCACAGATTCGACTGGTTGTTCTGTGCCTGAGGATTATTTTGAGGAAGGTGATCCGCTGTCGCGCGCGGATCAAAATGAGTGTTTTTATGAAACGGTAATATAGCGACAACTGTAACTCGAATATCATTCTCACAAGGAATCTTAATTTTATTAACTGAAGGTAAATCGAATTAGGGGGGGTTTGGTTTGGGTTCAAAAACGAAAACGCAAAATAAGCGCTTAAAATAAGTGATTCTCGAAATACGCTAAAATGAACCAATCTACTGTATCGACTTCCGACTTATCATCGATCCATATAAAATCTCAATTCCCTAACGGGTATGTTCCTATTCGATCACAAAAGCTAGTGACAAGCGCAATAGCAATTGAACGATGTCTATCCCTAAATTCCGAGTAAAGAAAACGGATAAAAACTATTGCGAATTGTGATACGGTGGGAGAATTGACTTGAGGTTTTGCGTTTGTGTTTGCAAATGTTTCAGTTTAGCAAGAGTCGCCACCGACTTTTTATTTTGTCCAAAGGAAAGGTCAAAAAGCACAGGAAAGACCTTTGAGATGTTTTCTTGGGTTCGGGGGGTAGATTATGAAAAGGGAAGGTGCAAGCACCCTTTTCATCCATGGTTATCCATGGGCTCTTAGTTACTTGTTTAGATCACTTGCTTTTGCTTTTCAATTGTTTGAAATGGTGCTTTTGTGTGTGTGGTTTTTGAAAATGCTTTGGAAAAAAAGGCCTTGTCTAGGCAACCTTTGTGATGATTCTTTGTTTGAATATATATAAAGGTGTTTGTCTTTTGAAAAGATATTTCAATGTTTGAAAGTTTGTTTTTGGGAAGTATTTTGAAATTGTGTTGTGATGTGTGTTTGAAAATAGCAAGGATGTTTTGCAAGTTTTGATCAAGTAACTAAGAGTTGTCTACCCTATTTTACTCAAAGGTATTTCCTACACATTTTTAACCCTTTTGACAGTGTTGTTTTACCATTTCATTTGGTAAACAACCTTGTATTAGGATGTTAAACGGGACAGGCGTAGGTCATCGTATTGACCATGATAGCAATATTGTCAAGTATCTTTAGCAATTTTTTTAGGGACTAGATCATTTTTGGGTAGGCAACCAAGATACCATCATCGAGGGACTATGATCTTTTGTTTTTTTTGTGTTTTGTCAAGATACTCAACATGCATAACATGGCCATTTTAAGGCAACAAGTGGATGAAACCCTAGGGGTGCAAGTGTGCATTGTGTTGTCATTTTACATGCTTTTTGTCCTTGTATTAGTCAAGCTATTTGTTTTGATTTTGGATTTTTGCATACAAACCCTAGTCTCTAACATGGCATATTTGTAAGCATAAAGTGCATAAAATTAATCTACACTATTACAACATTTGATATGGGAAGGGGGATACAAGTTTGAATGGGGAATATTTGCAAGAAATTAAAACCCTAATATTTACTATTACATCCAAATTGAATAAATGGTACAAAATAATAAATGGACAAGTACTTAAATGGTCAATTAAATAAAAATGCAAAATATTATGAATATGCAAAAAATGTTTTTGTTTATTTTTTATGTATGTAAAAGTATAGTATTTAATGTAAAAAAAAAAGAAATAAAAAGATTATTATTTATTAAGGGTAAAAAACCCTAATTTTCTTTTAAGAAAGTATATATATATATATATATATATATATATATATATATATATATATATATATATATATATATATATATATATATATATATATATATATATATATATATATATATATATATATATATATATATATATATATATATTATTTATTTTATGTACAAGAAAATTAATATAAATACACAGAAATATTTAAAAAATAATAATATATGAGAAAATATTATTTAAATATATAAATACTAAAAAAAATATTATGTATTGTTTACAAGCTTTTATTTGAGAAAATAAATAGTATATCTAATTAAAAATTATTTTCATGTTAGAAAAAATAAAATAAAATATAAAAATAAATGTGAAAATTTATAAAAATATTTTTGGTATTTTTTATGTCTAGAAAATAATAAAATAAAATCAGAAATGAAAATAAATACAAAAAATATAAAAGTATGAAGAAATGGGCCAGGGGGGGTGCAGTCAGTAATGAGGGGGGTGTCAAAAACAAGGCCAGAACCAAGCCCAGCCCACTGACTTCATCTTCAACCTTTGTCACAAAACGCGCGCGCCTGATTCAAACATGGAGAACCTGCATACATGCCCTAATGCAAAAACTCATAACATCAAAGTTGTAGCATTTTTCAAGACGAATCCAACCATGTAAAGAACTCATTCTAACTCTCAAGGACCAGAGAGAATTTCTCTGGCCCTAAATCCTAACCTAATTTTTTTAGGAAGTTCATGAATCAAATTCTCTTAACACGCTTAACTTAAATGAAAACTGAGCATATGTACAGCTTCATGGCCA